TAGGAATAAATGCCTCCATTTCCTCTACTCGTTGCCCTGGCTTGCAGGATGAATTGCGATGCTGTAGTGGTGGGGATCTGATTGGCCCTTGGGAGAGGGAAGACATCCCTCTGGGATGGTTAGCAGAGGAGCTGAACTGAAAGGACCCACTTGAGAGGCTGAACCATTTTACTAGTTCAGTAAGTGACTTGATCTGTGAATCATAGCTGAGTGTTCTCTATCCTGTGCTCCAGTGACTAGCTGACTTCATGGGTTAGTTTGTAAACATTCGATGCCTACTTGGATTATTATTTTAAGTATCCAAGCGGCACCCACTACCCTTATTTACAGTTAAAGTATCAAGACTATTTGGCAGGTCAGAAGGCTAATGAGGCAAGGTGGGGATTAGATAAGAGCAAACTGGTCAGTGAAACTTCATTGAGACCGGGGAGCGAGCTGTGGAGGAGAATGATTTTAGGAAAGTTGTGCTCTTTCTTCTGCCTGAGCTGGGACCTTGTGTTTGGTGTCATCTTAAGATAGTGGCCCAAATGCAAATAATCTCTGTTCAGTGTCTGCTTTTATGCAGTTCCCATGTGGCCAGGGAGCTGGGGCTAACAGGTGGAATGTGTATTTGTTTAGGAGGTGAAGGTAGGTTACCAAGCTCCCAAGTCATCAAGGAATGAAACAGCAGGCTGCAAAGCTGGTGGGTGTAGGTTAAATTATATTTGTGGATACCACGCCCCAGGAAGCAAGGTTACAAATGGAAATCATGCTTTGGCTGTTCTGCTGAAGTGCTGCACAACATTATAGCTTGAAAATGGTAGTGTTGCAAGAATGTTTTCTGCTGCAAAAGTGATTGTTTATTGGGTATAATTACTGTTGCTCAGATTTGGGTCATGATCCAAACACTGGTTTTGGTTTAATAGGACAAACCTGCTCAAAGGTAGACCTTTCTGAATTAGATCCTGCACTCAATTTCTGTTCGCTGGTGGCGCCCCCATGGTACTCCATGGGGTCGTGAAGGGTAAGGGAAGTTTCTCACTTGGACCTGCCATAGTGGGGATGCTGCAGAAATTCGACTTAAGGTATGTCAACTCCAGCTACTCTATTCTTGTAGCTGGACTTGCGTATATTAGGTTGACTTTCTCACATACTGTAGAGCTGGCCTAAATGTGACCTTTAGTGACTAAATGATTCTGGATGTCAGCTGAGTATGCACAGCCCCTGAATTGTACAAAACAGCACAAAATAGCAGTATGGAGAAATTGGGCTTTCTAAGACTTTTTAAATGGGGGTCTTCTTAAAGCGAGGCAGTTTCCTGTGAATTGTTTGTCCAGAAGAGCAATGCTGTCAGTGCCCTGAAACCATCCAAACTTTAGTAACTTCTCATCCTAGACTAAGCTTGGGTTGTTGGTTGTTCTTGATCGCATCTGTGTGGCTTGGCTGTGACATGCATAAGTTCTGAAGCTGCATGTTGGTAGTAAATTGAATGTCACAGTGAAGTGGCCCCATGATGATAACCCGTCAGGTGCCTGCACAGCACCAAAACGTGCTCCTCTTCCTTCCTCCTTACACTTCTGCACTAGCAGAATTTGTGATCAAGGCAGGCAGATCTTGTGGGCTTCCACAGATTCTTCCTGTGACTGTAACATGTAAGAGACTTCCTCCATTGAGCACAAAATATGGTTTTAAACATGAGCTCCTGCTATGTAAGCCCGCTCCTTCTAGCATGTGGGGGCGCACAGGCAGTTTCTCCCTGGATGTGCTGTGGTATCAATAGAGTAGACAGAGCAAACGGGCAGTGAATTAGATTCCACAAGGGAGGAGACCCAGGCATAATTTCAGAGATTCAGGAGCAGGGATAGAGGATAACTGGGCTTCCTGACTTAAGGGTTTCCCCTGGTGTGACAGTCTCCCCCTCAGCCCTAACAAGTGGTTATCATTCAGGAAACATTTTGGTCTCTCCTGGCCTTTCTGTGCTGCCAGTTCTTCTGTTAATCATTTTTCAAACTTGTGTCTTAGAGTAAAAGGGAAAAACACGCTGTTGCCTGGGGAGGAGGACTAATTGCAAGTGTTTAAATACAGGGATAGCTGTCAGTTGCTAGCTTAATCAAAGGCTCCTGAAGTTGCACCCATGGAGCTGAAGTGCTGAACCAATGTTAGTAGCAGTTTTATATCTTCTTATATTTTCCCATGTAGACATTAAAAATGGAAGAATTTTGAGGCAGCATAAAATAAACTGAGTTCTTTGTTGAGTTAAACGTGGCTCCATTAAAAAACCTGTCTGAAGCTGTTGTAGAGTACCTGTCTGCCACAGTGGAGCACTGCAGAGCGCAGAGGATCTGGGGTATAGTCCATCTTTCTGAGATACTTGACTTTCCTCTTCGCTGCTTCATATGTTTGTTTCTAGCTCTCTTCTCACCATGTGGTGTGTCTTGTGGGGGTGAATTTCATATGCTGGTGCTTGGAATAGTTATTGTCTGTTCCGTGGCATGTAAAATGTTAAATATTTGATGCTGGAGGCTTCAAATGCCAACTACTTTTTCATGGCACCTAGGTCCTGCTTTCTTAGTTCAGCTCGCAACCACGACTGGGATGTTTTGAGCTCTTGCGCGTCTGGCATTGCACAGAAGTAATTAATTGAAAATGAGTTGGGCAGATGTTTCTTAAGTTTCCCTTCTGAATCGTGTCAGCAATTGGTCTAGTGCAGTGCAAGCCACATTCTAGTGATAAAGCCTCGTGTATCATTCTGTTGGCATGTGAGAAAGGAAAGTGAATAGATGCTATGCTGCCCCTTGCCAAACACAGGTCTGCCTCTTGCCAATTACAGGCAGGCAGCCATAAAGTTCCTTGTTAGGTGGGCTATGTTCACTAGTGTCCTTGAAAGGTGAAGGAGGGAGTTGCCACTTTTCTCAGTACTTTGTAGTGCAGGAATGGGCAATAATTTTTGAATGAGAACCACTTCAAAAAAATTGTAAAGTGGTTGTGGGCTGCCCCAGAAGGGGCGGGGCCTCAGACAGAAGGGGTGGGCCTTTAAATAGCAGGAGTTGAAAGGGTTCATGCTTCCCCTGCAGCTCCCGGGCATCATGTTAGCT